GGACGAGGCGGACGCGCCACGCCAGCGCCTGCTGGTGCTGGTGAAGGACCACGGCGAGCCGGCGCTGACGGCCACGGCCACCGTGCTGCTGTCGCTGGAGGACAGCGGCCAGGCGCCCAAGGCCTCTTCGCGGGCGTCGACGGGCGCCGCTGGAGCGGAAGCGGCTCTGGTGGATGTGAACGTGTACCTGATCGTCGCCATCTGCGCGGTGTCCAGCCTGTTTGTGCTCACGCTGCTGCTGTACACGGCGCTGCGCTGCTCGGCGCCGCCCAGCGAGGGCTCGTGCGGGCCCGGGAAGCCCAGGCTGGTGTGCTCCAGCGCGGTGGGGAGCTGGTCTTACTCGCAGCAGAGGCGACAGAGAGTGTGCTCTGGGGAGGGACCGCCCAAGGCAGATCTCATGGCCTTCAGTCCCAGCCTTCCACCGTGTCCTCTACCAGCCATAGAAGTGGAAGAACAGTCTACTGAAGGTGATCACTGTAGTAAGGTAAGTTATTGTTTATTTTCATATTTTGCTTTGTGAATATTTTATTTCAATACTTTTCCACTCAAATATATGTCACCTAGGAATATCACCATACTTTGTCTAAATAGTATATATTTCTATAATATCTCGAATATTTCTAGTAATATCTTCTGTGATGTAGTTTATTCTAGAAGTTCTCTTTATATTTTGTTGACAGTACCCTGTGCATCAACTTTTGCTGGATACTTCACTTTTTAACAATACGCCATTTATTCTGAATTCATTTATAGTTTCTGATATAAATATTTGCTGTAGCTTGCAGGGTTTGATTTTTTCCATAAATCACTATCATTTTATGTTACAATATTTGTAAGAATAGTATCTGTAATTTTACTTAATTTTTAAATGTAAAATTTGAAATGGCCATTACATTAACAAAAAGACTTCTATGATCAGTTCCTGTCGCAATGAAAATGTAGATTTTGCTCCCTAAGTAAACAACAAATATGTGTACTGTGACATACTTTAGAATGCATTCTTGAACTCAAGAATTTACACTTTATTCTTAATAGTAGAGTATGTAGACTGGAAGATCATTCATAAAAAGTCCTAATTTATGGAAATGAAATTATTTTGAACTTAATTTTTTTCATTTTTATGTCTGTTTTTTACTGATTTTTCTTTTTACTGATTTTAGTCTGATAATGTCTTTCACTGGCTCTGTTATCATATAAATATTTTTAAAACTTTGTGGACAATTTCTTTCATTCAATTCAGAATGGTTAAGATTTTATATAAAGCCATAAATACTCCCAAATCAAGGATCGATGTTAACACTTGCCAAAAAAAGTTAGTGCATTTCTTTTAAAACTGTAACATCTTATTTTTATAAGCATATTTAATATGCTCTTTATTAGATGACATTAAAATGAGGCTAATCTGAGCATTCCTTGGCTTTTGATGGCATAGTATTCGTGATAGCCTGTTTCAAGATGAGTAACAAACCCATAAGTTTATTGGTATATTGTAGTAATATAGCTGTATGATAGCCTTGGAATGTGGGAGCATTAAAATTATCTTTCATAAATCAATGAAGGAATTCTTCAAACTAAAAACGGAATGGACCTTCAAGATGGAGTCATTCCCAAAGGGAGTGGAGTATTTCAATCAGCAAACATGAGGTTTATTTCTTAGAATTTAGTCACCCTCATTGGTAAAATTTTTCCTGCTCTTCTTTAGGCAAATATGTTGGCATTAAATTTATGTCTTCCACAATTAACAAAAGAATTAGAAATAATTAGAACTATAAATCTTTGGCAGAGATTTATAATTATTGAAACTGTTAAATTGTGTTCAAAATAAAGACTGTAGCTCACTTTTACATAAAACCTAAGATTTCCTTGGGTAGCTATTTATTTATTTACTTACTTATTTATTTTAGTAGATTTGGGGTTTTCCCACTGACTGCCATCTTACCGGAAAGATTTCAAACATTGGATAGTTGGTTCCTTAACGATCTAGAGAATGATTAAAATATTCTTCTAAGGCAGCACTGATAAACTTTATTGCAATTGATAACAATTGTTACACTAATTTCAGTGTTTTAAAATTTGAGATAAAACATGAAAATAAAATTGAGTGATTAAATGAGATTTAAAATACTCTTCATATCCAAGTCTCCTTAAACCAACTCCGGAATAAAATGAGAATAAACAAAGTGAGAAATATGACATGAATTTCTGATCAGTGGGCTTTTTTGGGGGGGATTATAAAGAGATTATGTTTACAAATAGTGGATATAATGCAAATTTAGATTGTGCTTCAGGATGTAAACTACAACATTCACCCTGAATAGATACAATAAATTTTTTTAAAAACTTTAAGATGAGACAAAAATAAATATGCTTTGTATTTCTCAGAGTCAGTACTTGGTAAATTCATTAACATCAAAGCAAATAAGTTTTTGGACAAACTGATAAGTAGCTTGCATATTAGAACTGATTTGAAACATCATCATGTTGAGATGGTAACTTAGAGAACTGTCATTTTGAGTAATCCTCTACACAACTGGACTAAATGTTTAGAATAATTTAACATATTATAAGGATTAAGCAATAGAAAATTATAGAATGCTAACAATGGAGTAAACTCAATAAAAGCCAGTCAAAAATGATTAAATTCTGAAGTTAAAAAAACCATGTCACTAGTAAACTACAAATATGGATATTTTCATGTTTATATACATTATATAATTAGCACAGTAGCGCGTTCTCTTAGATGTCTATATCCAAAAAAAAACAACAAAACAACTCTTCTTGGAATTCTTATTTGTAAAACCGAACCACTTTTGAAGAGACAGTGGTCACACACGGGAAATATATAATGAAAGAATTAAAAGCCCACAGAGAAAAACATGGACCAGAACGAAGAAATCATGAAAGAAGCAACGTGAAGTGAAAGAAATAGTATAAACGGCAAACGCACTTCCACTTTGAGCCACAGGATGTCGTTGTTCTCCAAGGAGAGGATTGTTTCAACCGAAAAAAATTACATTATTCCCGGAACAGAAAGACTCGTCACAGTTCCGGTGCTTTAAAGACTATGAACACATCCATATTAAGATCAGCTGGAATATCAGGAACAAAAACTCAGAAGAAAGGTCTCAAAAGGACTACATCTTTCTACTTAAGAAATGTTAATTTACTAACCAGAAGCGAAGCACGATGTTAGCTTCAGGACCAGGTGGCGGGGGAGCCAGGCGCCTGCTGCTCTCGTTTCTGCTCCTTGCAACTTGGGAGGCCGGCAGCGGCCAGGTCTACTACTCCGTCTCTGAGGAGGCGAAACACGGCACCTTCGTGGGCCGCATCGCGCAGGACCTGGGGCTGGAGCTGGCGGAGCTGGTGCCGCGCCTGTTCCGGGTGGCGTCCAAAGGCCGCGGGGATCTTCTGGAGGTAAATCTGCAGAATGGCATTTTGTTTGTGAATTCTCGGATCGACCGGGAGGAACTGTGCGGGCGGAGCGCGGAGTGCAGCATCCACCTGGAGGTGATCGTGGACAGGCCGCTGCAGGTGTTCCACGTGGAGGTAGCGGTGAAAGACATTAACGACAATCCTCCTGCTTTCCCAGCGACACACAAAAATCTGTTTATTTCCGAAAGTAGGGCTCTTGACTCTCATTTTTCACTAGAGGGCGCCTCTGATGCAGACATTGGGACCAACGCTCTGCTGACTTACAGACTGAGCCCCAACGAGTATTTCTCTCTGGACATACGAACCAACGAGGAGCAGGTAAAACCGCTAGAACTAGTACTAAAAAAACCTTTAGACAGGGAAGCCGCTTCAGAGCTTCTCTTGGTGCTGAAAGCAACGGATGGAGGAAAACCTGAGCTGACAGGTACCGTCGAGTTACACATCACAGTGCTGGATGTAAATGACAACGCCCCAGTGTTTGACAAAGCAGTTCATCGAATAAAATTACTGGAAAATGCAAGAAATGGTACAATGGTTATTAGGCTTAACGCCTCGGATTTGGATGAGGGTTTAAACGGCGACATTCTTTATTCTTTTGCAACTGATGTCTCTCCCAATACAGAAGCCGCTTTTCGCATAGATTCAATCAGTGGAGAAATAAAAGTAAATGGAAAAATTGATTATGAAGAAAATAAATTGTGGAAACTTCACATAGAAGCAATTGACAAAGGAAATCCCCCAATGTTTGGTCACTGCACAATCTTGATAGAAGTCTTGGACATCAACGATAATGCTCCCGAGTTGCTAGTGACTTCGCTTTTGCTCTCTATTCCAGAGGATGCTTCACTGGGGACAGTCATAGCTCTAATCAGTGTAACCGATCGAGACGCAGGTGGCAATGGGCAAGTGACCTGCTCACTAGCACCTGAAGTCCCCTTCAAGCTGGTGTCTACC